AGTTCTTGCCATCGGGCTTGGCATTGCGCAACGGAGAAACCCACTCGGCGGGCCACAGTAGTCCAGTTGGGACGAAGTTTTGGGTTTTCTTTGAGTTCGACCAGGCGACAATCAGCGTCGCCGTCCCAAGCGTCCCAATCGGCGTGTTGGTTGAGTGGTGGTGGGGGTGGTTGCTTCCGCTTGCGTGTTGTGGTGGGTTGTGGAACAGGGGTTGTTGTTGGAGTGTCGTCTGAATCCTGTAAGGGTGGTGCTGGTGGACGGATGGGTGGTCTGGATGGTGCTGAGTCACAGGATGAGGTGGTGGATGGTAAACGTATGGGGTGATTGGGTGGAGTTGGAAGTGGCTGAAAGTGTTGGCGGAAAGTGGGGTCTGCTTGGTGGCTGTGGTGGAGGAAAACCGTGTGAAGGTGTGCTACAATATCTGTTGCTTGTCGAAGCAGGTTGTGCACCTGGGAAAGTGCCACTGCGGTTTTGTGTAGTAGAGTTGCGGTGTCGTTTTGTAGAGGTGTCAGCTTGCTGCTCATGGGGCTGAGATGTAGGGGTGTGCAGTAGTCAAGAATCGTCACAGGTTGCTGCGGCAGCGCGCCAAAGCAGCCGGAAAGCGGCGAGTCTGAGGAAGCACATCATTCCGAGGCCGTGCATATGAATTAAGCGAGCATCAAATTCCCACAGGCAAAAGGGTGAGTACGCAATGCAGATTGGACAATCGAGTACATGACTTAAAGAATCACTCTCCACGACGCAGAAACTGACATGTGAAAGACTCCTGCAAAACAGCCGATACAATTCAAAAGATTCTCAGCAAATACTGCGGAGCTAGAAAAATGAAGGGTTCAAAAGGCCCGTGGCTGCTGCAAGAGGCTCTTTTTTGCTGCTACAGCAAAGGTTGGGTGGTGGTGTGAGACCAGAAGTGGATGTGGAGGTGGTAGTGGTGTGTGGATGTGTGGCAGTGGCGTTATGGGTCCGGTGGGGTGGAGTTGGTGGACCAGGCCAGTCCTTTGACAATGGCGTGGTCCGGGTGGATCACCCAGCAGCGGCCCTTCTGATGAAAGACCGCACCATGGTGGTCGTTAAGGAGGTTCATAGCGTCCAGAGGTATACTTTGTGGCGGCACCCCAAGCAAGGAGTGTGATGATAAGGGAATGGGAGTTCTTGTGGAGTTGCCAGGTGTTGTGGATGATGCGGGCAAGTTCGTTGTGGTCATGGGGTTGGTTGTGGGTGATGCGAACGCCCTGGGCAAAAAATCCAGGGTAGTTGGCAAAGTGGAGTGTGCTGGGTAGAAAACGGCCTTGGCGTAGAATGTTGGAAATGTTGCCGACGGGGCCTGTGTGGCCTGCGTTGATGTGGGCAACTTCCCGGTGGGTTGATGTGGCGCGGGAAACCGCAGGTGGCTCGGGTGTAGTGGCTTTGGTGTTGAGGAAGGGAAGTGAAATGGCATAGTACTGGAATTGGTCGTATTGGTGAGTTGTGTCGTTCCACTTAGCGTGGGTGTATTGGCGGAAATCGTTGATCTCCTTGGAGGAGATGTTGCAGTCTGTGAGGATATTGGCAATGTACTGGTGTTGTGGTCTGTTGGGATTGTCGAGTTGGGCGGCGTGGAATTCGAGCCATTCCAGGATTTGGTCTGCGGGTGTGAGGGTGTGAAAGTTGGGTGGAGGTCGCCAACGGTTGAGTGGGCGACGGATGACGGCTGTGGTGGGATATTGAGAGGGATCAGGGTTCGCGTGTTCGGTGTTTGGGCGTAGATCAATGGGTTGTGGTGGGGACCGACTGCGGGATGGTGTGAGGCTAGATGTGTAGGTGGATGTGGAAGGCGAACGCCGTCGCCTGGTTTTGCTGTGGTGTTTGGAATGGTGGTGATGGCGATGTCGGCGGCGGTGGCGGTGGCGTCCTCTGTGGTGATGGTCGGACTTGCGTCGGCTCTTGTGATGGTGGCGGCGACTGCTGTGTGGTGGTTGTGGGGAAGGTGGTTGTGGTGCTGGTGAGGCAGTGGTGGCAGGTTTGTCTGGTGCTGGTAGTGAAGGTCCCGGTGCTGGTGTGGCAGATACCAGCGAGGGGGATGCTGAATGTTGGGATACGGTGGCCGGTGTGTTTTGGACTGGTAGTGGATTGTCCTGGGCAGTCGTGGGGATGGGTTGGATCGGTGGTGTTGGATCCGATGGTAGCTGCTGTTGAAATGGAGGTTGGGTTGGCGTTGAGGCAGTGGTAATTTGTGGAGGTGGTGGCGGGGGCCCCGGTTGGAGTGGAGGTTGTGTGACGGGGGGAAAAGCTGAATAGGGTTGCCAAACGCCCTGGGGGATGGCACATTGGGGATCTGTGGATGGATAATTGGCAATCGCAGTCTGTTGCTGTGTTGGAGGGGGATGTGTCAGTGCAGTGGGGGGAGGAAGTTCAGCTGGTGGTGTGGGATGATGTGGTGGCAGCAGGTAAGACGGGGGAGGTGCTGCTGTCGGAAACACTGGAGCTGGATGTGTGGGTTGCGGTGGCGCGTGACATGGGGGGACAAAAGTCCAAGTGGATGGTGTGCCGTAGGTCAGTGCGGTGGCAGTAGGGGCGGATAAAACCGGTTGTGGTTGAAATGGTTGTGGTTGGAGGTGAGGGTATGCCGGTGGTTGTGTCGAGGGATAGGTGGGTGCAGTTGATGGCTGTGGCATCGGCCATGTGGGTTGAGGTTGCGTAGTAGGTAGTGGTGGTGGCGTGGTGTGAGCATAGGGCCACGGAAAATGCATGTCGTGGTCGTAGCTATGGCTCGGCGCGGCGCGGCAGCAAAAGGCAGCGAAGAAATGCCGAGTGGTATTGTCTTGTTGTTGTTGAAGGTGTCAGCGCTGGTGTCGGTGGTGAGGATGTTGTAAGGTGGTGCTAAGCGTTAGCTTGTTGGTAAGTGTGTGTTCATGCATCTCGAATTAAGCTGAAGAGTTGCAATGCCCTTCCTTGAGTGCTGTCGATGAGAGAGTCGCGGCAGCAACATAACTAACACATAAACACGCACATGATTGGAAGCCATGAAAAGAAAACTGAATGCCGAAATCTGAAATCAGAAATCAGAAGTTCTGAAGCTGAGGGATTTGTCAAAAACCGTTTTTTGGCCCGGCGGCCGGTGTGGCAGTTGATTCAAAGAGGGGGTCGGTGCTTTCCTGTGATGTTCCAGTGATCGGTGGAGCGTTGGGGTGGTTGCTTTCCCATGCAAAAACAGCGCCCCTGTGAAGGGGATCACACTCAGCACCCGAGTGGGACGGCTGAGCAGGACACACTTCGAACTTGGATTTTCAGTTAATGCAAGTATCACGTTGGGAAGAAAGGCGAGGAACCGCAGGGCGCAAAGGTCAGTGAAAACAGTATGGTTTAACTTTGTTTGCAGTGGCGCTCGAAAAGACGATCGGACACTCAGCGCGGCTGCAAGTCAGCTGTAAGGCTGCATTGGGTTTGGGGGTGGTAACATGAAGGACCATGAAAACAACGAACAGCGGCAGGGTGGACCAGTGGAGTCATTGTGTTGAAAGCAGGTACAGGAAGGTGATCAGCCTTCCCTTCCCATCCATGACCGCAGCTTCGTTGCACACGGTAGGTCATGGATGCCGTGCGCCCCTGCTTGTGGAGAAAAGGTGGTGGAAAACCCTTTGTCCAGGGTGGGACACACACACACACACACTTAGTGGAAGATCGAGAGTTACTGCAATTAGGCCTTGGCTGAGGGAACAGAATGGCGAAAGAGTCCGAGGAACAGAAATGGAGCACGCTCACTAGCACTTTGCAGGAAGATTGGTGTGACAGCTAAAACACAAAAAAGGAATGCAGGTACGTCACTGGGCGTCTCCAGTGATATCCTCAGGGCACTGCAGAGAGCTTTGTTAAGTGGAGCTCTGCAGGCCTGCTCCACTCCCCTGCTTTGACTGTACGGTGGAAATGCGTGGATCCCTTAGGAACAGGGTTTGACACGCAGACATGAAGCCGCAACGGCGCTCCCTTGACTAAGAAACCAGAAAACTTAACCTTAAAAGCCTAAGAGGCAGACCTAACAAACGGAAAAAACAGTAAAGAAAGGTGCGGTGGGCTGGCGGGGGGGGAAAGGGAGGAGAAAATCGATAAAGCGAGCCTGAAGGGCCACCTCCAAAGCCTCGAGAAGCAGGCCTAACAAACGAAGAGCAAAGAAAGGAGAGGAAGGCGGGGGAGGTGGAGGAAGGCAGGGCATGTTTGCCAGAAGGCAAGTGCGAATAGCCGTATCGGCGCTCCCTTGACTCGCAAGAAATCTGAAGTGCCTTTAGCAACGAACAAAGATCCAGAAAAAGAAGAGAAGCCGAAAGGAACGAAATTGCATATGTGGTGGCTTAAAAATAGGGAACCCTAGACATGGCATGTCATTCTGGTACTGTGAGTATGTTCAGGAGGCCCTGCGGCTTTCAATTTGCAATCTCGAGAAGACACAGCCGGTCAGAAAGAATCAAGCAAACCGCTGGACCAGTGATGATCATCACCGTTGAGGGGTCTGTGAAAACAGCGCCCGAAAAAATAGAGCAGGACGCTGTGAAAGTGCATGTTTTTGACATCTCTGTCACTTCTGTTGCACTGGAACGCTCAGAAGAACGTCAGGAAACTCTACGAACAACTCTAAGAAACCGTTGGTATTGAAGCAGACACATGAGAGCGACGAACAAGTACAGGGAGCACAATGAGAGCATACATATAAGAGCGGACGGAGCGCTACTCCTGAGAATGCACGAATATATAATAAAGTGCTGTGGGAACGTGGTCCTTTAAACCAACAATATGAGTCTCAGTCAATTTTTTCAATTGGAACATCATTGGCATATCCCAAAGCACAGGGTCTGCAGTTTTCTGTGCGAGGTTTTCAATGATGTATACATTTGTACGTGTCGCGTCCGCAGGGATAGATTAGCAGACCCTTCGCACCCGTTGGTCGACAATTGATTGTCTCTGTCGTATCCAGATGTTGGCTGTTGCGAGGGGACTGCTTTGCCGATGGATACTGGTGCCGTATAACTTTTTGGCTTGGAGCATTGAGCATACCGATAGTGAGTGGCCTTTGAAACTTCTCAGCTTCATGGCACCTCAGCGCCGGATTCAACGATCTTTATCCGAGAGGTGCCCTCAATCTACCTGAAGCTACAATTACATATCCCCTTCCTTACTCCTTGAGCATTCTTTTGGTGGCCAATCTGATCATGCATGTTACGTTTAGGTTGGACAACTATTGCTTTGCCAGCAGTTTCGCTGCCGGTTTGGAGCTTGAGGTTGCTGCAAAGGGACATAAACAGCATTGGCATGAGCTGTACTGACCAGTAGACGCAGTGCTTTGGTTCCGCAGGATGACAGCTTCGATGAGTCATACGTGCCAGAGTATGCTGTCCTTTTAAGTCAAAGCAGGAGCTATGTGCACAGTTGCATGAGCTGTAAGCAGAGCTTGCACAATTTGAGTGGCCTGGGGTCAAACCTGAATAGTGAGGATTGAGGCGGAGAAGGCGGAGAAGGGTGCATGCCCCCCGTGGGAATCAACGGAGTCTTCATCTTTTTGGGTATCTGTTGCAAATGTTACAAAGCCTGGCCCTCAGAGGTATGTAGAAACATGTAGAAACTGGAGTGTCAAAGTCAGGAAGGCAATTTCATGCGTTCACGCCTGTCCTTTGAATGCATGTTTAGTCTAGTAGTGTTTTATCGTATTCATCACACATGAGTGGTTTTCAAGTTATTGTCAATCACTTTTTACATGTGAAATTGAACTTCCTTAAACGATGCAGGACGTCAAAACATTAAAACCCTGTTGGTGTATACCCTAGACCTTAGATTCAGATGTTGATGTGTGAACCCTGCAAAAAGACACCTACAGTCCTACAGTGTCCATCTGTAAAACGCTGTGAAGTGATACGAGACGTCCCAATGTTGAAAGCCTAAACTAAACAAATAATTTAGTAGAAAGCTACACACATGTCCCAGTATGTCCCAGTATTGAGTGTTCTACCAAGCACTCTCAGCTGAAATTCTGGCAATTTACAAAAATTATCATTGGAAATTCTTTCTGTTGAAGTGATTTGCAAAACGAGCAAGTCCAGTAATGAAACACCAGGTCCCTGGTTGGAATTGGCATGCTGACACTGCCACGAGCTGTGGCCGAAGCTGCCTCTCCATCCATAGCTGCTTGCCACAATGCTGTGCAACATCAGACCATGCCATTTGCCAAAGCACAGCGCTGGTTTCCTTTTTGGCACATCCAAGGCAATGCTTGGCTTAATGCTTTGTGGAGCGCTATGCGCCACCTCCTTCTTTTTCCTCGGGTATTGCGCACACTTGACCAACACGGAGGCTTAGCTACATTGTTGAGGAAGCCTGTTTTGAGCAGTCATGCCATTGAGCTGCATAAGGAAACGCTCCCTCGGCTGTGGGGAAAAACAGTCGGACCCGGAAGCGTTTTTTTCGTGGAGGTCGTTGTGCCGCTTGGAAAGATTCAAGCCTGATATATAACAATCTAGATATATAACAATCTATAATAATCTATATATAATCCAATACACTCTTTGCACAGAGTAATGACTGCTGAAACCAAATGAAGCCGGCACACAAGGCTGGTAGACACCGGGCTCAGCTGCGTTGCATTTGCTTTACTAATTGGCGACTATATGGCGAAAAGTGTTGCTTGACCGTCTTGGAATAGATCATGTTGCAGCCCTTTATTTGTGTGTTTGTGTGTGCATATTCCAGGTTTGCCAACCAGATTCCCAGAGAACTTGCATGGCTGACAAGTTGATGGACGTTTTTTTTCACACGAGCATTGCAATCAATAACTTAGCCAATTTGCTGGAGGTAAATGGTTTGTGTCCATCTCTGCCAGACGAGCTGAAGTCGCGACGGATGCTGGTGGCCGCGGTCACGATTTTTGCGCTCATACCATTGTGCCTGAAGCGACGATTTTCACTTCTGCGAGTATCTTCAATCGCTGGACTTGTTTGCACATTGTCCCCTGGACGGGTTTTCTGCAAGTTTATTGTTTCCTCAGTGACATGGGGCAAAGCTCTGACCATTGTAATGGGGGGTTGGGGATGTGTCAGTAGCCGTCACTAGCCTAGCAGCCTAGGCCTTGGAAAAGGATGGAAAAGGGGGCATGAGACCTGAACGCTTCTTGTTATTACTAGTAAGGCACCTGTTACTAATAGCCATGCACTTGTTTCTAATAGCTTCTTGTTACTACTAGTAAGGCACTTGTTACTAGTAGCGATGCGCTTAAGGTATGTTTTTTTGTATGTGACGTTGGACGCGTTGTCCTACATTGTGACGGAGGGTGATCCGATTGCCTCTCAGTGGCCAGATGTCTTTGGATTCCTCCGCACCTTGGCAGTTCATTTCTTGAGATGAAAGGAACGGTGGGCGTTGTCTTTAATATACTCATATAGTATCATATAGTCCCTTTGAGCATCAAGGTGTGTTTCACAAAATATGGCAGAGATACCGTTTCGACATCAAGCTTCTTTGGCCCTGGAGCACCTGCTTTGGACCTTCCTTTCAAGATCCCCACACCACGGTATCCTGCAGTATAGTTGTTCAATGCTTTTCAAACTGGCAAAAGAAAGTTGAATGGTTTCCTCCATGCCCTACTATGCCTTACTCCTCTCTGCGGATTTCATTAATTGCGCCTCGCTCAGCACCCTTCCGGAACCTTGCGGAATGCGCCAAGCCGCGCAGGTAGCTTTGGCATCTATTCTTGCGCGTTCATGGCTCACTTCAACGCACCCGCGTTCTATGCCGACCTTGAAGGCATGCCCTAAAGACTCGGACGGAATACGACTCGAACGCCGACGCAGAACGCTTCGAGAAGCTTTGTACTTTTCGAGGCAAAAGTCCGGTAGTGTTTGCACAAGTTTGCGGAGCTGCTTACATTTTGGCCTTCCTAATCTATGCAGCGTGCCTCAGCGACGCAATAGCAAACATCTTCCATCATCCGCCATGGACTCCATGGACTTTCCTTTTAGTAGGTTGGAGGCTATCGCTCTTAGGTTGGAGGCCATTGCTCTTAGGTTGGAGGCCATTGCTCTTAATGTTGGATCCTGATTAGTAAAGGGGGATCCTCTATAATAAACTACCACCAAAACAAATCTGGGTTCCTGTGAGGATTCCTTTTTGTAATTGATTGTACTAGTAATGTTCCTTTCTAATTCTTTTTGTCATTAGGTATTCTTGGCA